TGTGTGTGTGTGTGTGTGTTGTGTGTGAGAGAGAGAGAGAGAGAGAGAAGAGAGAGAGAGAGCGAGAGCGAGAGCGAGAGCGAGAGCGAGAGCGAGAGCGAGAGCGAGAGCGAGAGCGAGAGCGAGAGCGAGAGCGAGAGCGAGAGCGCGAGAGAAGAGAGAGAGAGAGAGAGAGAGTGAGTGAGTGTGAGTGTACGATCGTGCGGTAGTTAAGGGGGTTAATAGGTACAGAAAATCTTAAGCCTACGTTGAGTTAAAAGAACTGAAATTGGCACAGGCGATTTTTTTTAGCCTATTTTCATATTCTAATATTAGACCAAGTCCTTGTTGAATCATAACAAACACAATTAGATAAATTGATATTTCCCCTGGTGATTACGTCCCCAAATAATATATACATAAACAGACAAACAAATAGACAGATACATTATTTGTCTATATTCATTTAGGGAAAGTTATTAGCACTGGCATCTAAAACGAACATTGGGGGGGGGGGGTATCGTCTCCATCTGAACAGGCCCTGGCACAGCGCCGGGAACAAGCATCCAATAACGACATAGTTGGACAAGCATATATACATATACAGAAACACATATATGCCTTGGCTTGATAAGTGTAAATTCTCGAACGAAGGGAGCGGTTTTTATCGGCTTTTAGATGAAGACAATTCTTTAATAAACAAACTACTTTAGTATCGGACAAGGTGGTTAAATAAATAACTGCTCTTGAAGAAAGAAAACCGTTAGGAAATCTACCCCCAAGAAAACGAGAAACCAGCTAAGACCTGAAATACTGCATACTGAAATATAGAAAAACCCTGCGACCGAATCTCAATAGCAAGAAATAGGCCCGGATCCTTCAAAGAACAAGCCAAGACCCGAAATACTGCATACTGAAAACATAGAGAAACCCTGCGACCGAATCTCAGAAGCAAGAAAGGGCCCGGATCCTTCAAGAACAAGCCAAGACCCGAAATACTGCATACTGAAAGATACAGAAACCCTGCGACCGAATCTCAATAGCAAGAAACAGGCCCGGATCCTTCAAAGAACAAGCCAAGACCTGAAATACAGCATACTGAAAATATAGAGAAACCCTGCGACCGAATCTCAGAAGCAAGAAGGGACCCGGATCCTTCAAAGAACAAGCCAGGACCTGAAATACTGCATGCTGAAAATATAGAGAAACCCTGCGACCGAATCTCAATAGCAAGAAACAGCCCGGATCCTTCAAGAACAAGCCAAGACCGAAATACTGCATACTGAAAAGATACAGAAACCCTGCGACCGAATCTCAATAACAAGAAACGGCCCGGATCCTTCAAAGACCAGAGAGCTGTAGGAGGAACAGGTCAGCGGCGGCGTCGGGAGTTTCACCCTCCTTCGCCTCCTCGCTGCTCGGGCCACGCGCCGGAAAATCGATATAGCATAGCACCAGTTCGACCTCGTTATCACGGAATCACTCCAGATCGTGGACATAAACATCGAAAATAAATCTAATCGTTATACATCGTCAATAGATCGGGTTACTCTACGTCGTCTATATGAAGGGATGAGCGTCCAGAGGAGGTCTCGGACAAACTGCCAGACTATATGAAATGTTTTTTGTCAATTTAAACCTTCACCTATAACATGAGCGTCGATAGAATCTCGTTAATGCACTTTATCTCATGATTTTAGTGCACTGACGAGAAGATATCGATGCTGATGTTATAGACGAAAGCTTAAATCAACAAAATATTAAATAAACGACTTTTTTCTTTGAACCCCCATGCCCATTCTATATACACCGTAAACAGATCTTTTTATTCTCTCTCTCTCTCTCTCTCTCTCTCTCTCTCTCTTCTCTCTCTCTCTCTCTCTCTCTCTCCTTCTCTCTCTCTCTCTCTCTCTCTCTCTCTCTCTTTCCTATGACAATATTACCTTGACCTTGATGTTTTATGATTATATATACAAAAAAAGGAAATAAATGCACGATAAAAGCCTCTTTCCCTTCAGGTTATCATCTTCATCTACGAGTAACAACAGCTGCTTCTGAAGTCTGATTTCTACAGCCAAAAGAAAATGAAAAAATAACCGAATATACTTATTGCAATCTGAAGCTTTTTATTTCAAAACTAACCATTTCAAACGCTCCCTTAACCGTTAAGAACTGAACACCAGTATTCAAATAACCATCAGCAATTTTTACGAGTTACTTTCGCAGACCTCAATCTCATACTATTACAACCATTAAACTAAGTTAATTTTACACTTATTCGTTACGCTAAGCTTACTGCATTATATAATGGAATCAACGTAGCATATTTTTGAGAATCTCCAAATTTCGAAAGTGCACCTCATCCCTACTTCTCTTCTCGCAAACATCTCTGTTACATCAAAAAGCATTCTCAGATATCAAAATTACTGTAAACGGTAAATAGTAAATTCATATTATATGCAGACTACACTATATATACAGATGTATGTGAGTGTGCGTGTGTGTGTAAACGTGTGTGTCTATATATGTGTATAAATGTGTATATATGTGCTTGTATGTATATATACATGTACATGTATGCATATGCATAAGTATATGAATGTATATGCATGTGTATACATGTATATGTATATGTATGTGCATGCATATATATGTATATCTATATATGTATATGTACGTGTATGTATGTTTGCATATGTATATGTATGCATGTGTGTGTTTATATGCATGTGTGTGTTTATATGCAAGTGTGTATTTACATGTATGTTGTATTTATATGTATGTGTGTATTTATATGTATATGTATGTGTGTATGAATGTGCGTATGTATGTATTATATGATACGTATGTGTGTATATGTATGTGTATATGTATGTATGTATGCATATGCATGTGTTTGCATATGCTTCTGTATGTACGTGTATGTATATGTACAGGTGTAGGCATGTTAGATAGGTTTATGTAAGTATATGTATGTATGTGTATGCTTGTATGTGTTTTGTGTATATACATATGTACATTTATGTACGCATATGTATATATATTTATATGTTTGTATCCATGTGCATTAATGCATATGTATGCATGTTTATGTCTGTATGTGTATGTATGTTTGTTTATGTATGCATATGTATGCTTATGTACGTATGTGTACGTGTGTACATATGTATGTACAGCCAATGTGTGTATATGTGTATATGTATATGTATGTGTGTACATATGTATGTACAGCCAATGTGCGTATATGTGTATATGTATATATATGTGTGTGTGTCTCCATAAGGCGTATATGTGTATATGTATGTATACATATACATATATATATTATATATGTGTGTGTGTGTGTGTGTGTGTTGTGTGTGTGTGTGTGTGTGTGTGTGGTGTGTGTGTGTGTGTGTGTGTGTGTTTGTGTCTGTATAAGTATGAGTGTATATATACAGGCATGTGCGTTTATGTACAGGCATGTGCGTTTATATACAAGCATGTGCGTTTATATACAAGCATGTGCGTTTATATAGTCATGTGCATTTATGTACAGGCATGTACGTGTATGGACAGACATATGTGTAGTTATAGGAATGCATGAAAAGGAATGTGCGTGTATACATAGTCCTGTTCATGTAGTTATATTTATTTACATGTATGTAGATGCATGTGTGTATGTACATGGACGTATGGGTGTGTATGTACAAGGACGTATGGGTGTGTATGTACTTGTATGTATGGAGTTGTATGTATATGTATGAGTTTCTGTATATATACACATGTATGTGTAACCATAAGTATTACGTGTGTGTATTCATATGCATGACGTGTGTGCATGTGTATGCATGTAGATGTGCGTATGAAAATGCATGTGTGCGCGTGTGTGTGTATATGTATGTATGCTGTGTGTTTGAATCTCTTACGCATGAGTGTATCTCTATGTATACGTGTGTGTTATTATTTATCGATGTGTATGTCTATATCTATGTGCATTAAGATTTATTTTAGAAGATTCTAGATAAATCCTAATCCTGTGATGTTAGATTTTGAACCTATGTATCTACACAAAAATCAGCTTCGTCTTGCATTCCCTGAAATAAAGATTGGTTATAGAATATGGCCACACACACCACAGCTGACGTCTCCATCTGTAGGCTTTGAACGAGATTAAGCATCATACAAATATACACAATTTGATTACAGTTACTGCCTTACGTGAGTGTTTATATTCAAGAATTTTCCCTCAAGAACACCCCCCAGGATTATGCACTTAGCTGAATAACTGTACATGTAATTTAGCTAGAGGTAAAGTAGTTAAAACATCCCTCTGATTTTAGTCTTCAAGTTCAAGATCAACCACACATTAGTCTGAAAACTAGGAATAGTATGTACAGGAAGAAAAAAAAGATAGACGTTACGTTCATAGTCAGCTTCGAAGGGTCCTGCCTCCTGCCAGGTGAATCGAAGACAGCTGTTCATACCTAATGTGAGAAATGAAGATACCAGGGATTTTTTTTAGCTGTGGATGAACAAGGGTTAGTCAAAGGCAAGGGCAGTGAACCACTGTGGCGCTGCAAACTTCGCTATGTCACATTACGTGTCCGAAGATTTCTGAAACGCTTGTTGGCCGAAATCAGGTGTGATGGTGGTACAAGGGGCGTGGAACAGCCCTGGACAACAATCACTTACCTCTTCAGTGTTTTTTTCCTATAATTTAACCTACGCTTACTTTTAATGAAGAGATTCAAGTGATCAAAGCTTGTCGGGTTCAGTTGTTTAAAAGTATGTTGTTTTTTTCATTGACATTTGACTGTATTTGTTTTTATTTTGTTATTTTGAGAGAGATACGGAAATTGGCAAACATTATATCTGAAGAACTGGTAAACAACTCAACCCATGCTTTTTTAGATCATGAAAAATGTGACAATCTTATCCCATCTTACTAGGTGGCGGCCTGGCCTGTTAAAGGGTG